TTCATGGCAACAGTCACAAGTATGTAAATAATTATTCGTGGCTAGGCTGTACTTAGGAGCCGTGGGCTTAAATAACTATCTATCTCAGTCTACGTCGCCGTTGTGCTCAAACGTTAACATCTCCCTTCACTACAATTTGGGCTTCCTGTGTAGTCACCAGACTTAACGTACGGTCACCTTTAAAATTGGAGAATGTCTGCAATCCGTAAGATTTCCAATATCGAGCAGATTGATGTTGACATTATTTGCAAATCCCCCTGTACGCGACTGTACGCCCCAACCGTCCTCTCTTTAAAGAAGATGATGATGGTCTCTCAACTCAAYAGTCGAAGTCGTGGACAACTCATTCGAACTTTAATTCAAAATCGAAATGGCTTCCAAAAAAGGAGTGGTTTTGGACTACAGGTAAGTGTAAAAGAAACTCTACAATTTTCTTTGGGAAGCTAACATTTTTTGTAAGCAATCCTTCGCCAAAACAGCTCAAAAAGTTTTGTTCAAATCTTTGTTCACTAAAATTTTTCTGAATCTATCCCCTGCCCCCAGCTAACTTCAATGTTGTTTAAATATTACGGTGTACGTTTGGTTGCTATATAACTTGGGGTAGGCCTGCCTATATCAATACATCACGAAAATTCTACAACAGGAAATATAGGAAAATAGAAATATAAATTTATTTGTGCATTCTGATTTGCAAATTAATTTTTACAAGTTGGAAAGTTATTATAAGAATTTGAGGAGTCACTTGCTAGTTAGTTAGGTAGGGGAGGGGGAGGAAGTGTTATAATGTGATCATGTAAAATAAACACCAAGACATAAAATCATGAAAACGTGTCAAATCGTTATGTTTCAAATCGGATTTGTACCAAAATTAATGTTCCCTAGCTTAGCAAAGTGTTATTTTTATTTGTACATTTTAGGGTTTTCCACTGATCAACTTAAAAGGAGTGAAAACTAAACTCAAAATATRTCTTATGAAATAGAGAAAGGACAGAAGAGGAGATTAAATAAGACTTGGAGAAAGAAGAAAGAAGAAGAGAGAGGAACTTAAGGTAAAACTAGATGAAGAGAAGAAACGCAAAGAAAAAAATATTATAAAATAACTGTTATGAATGACGCGTTCTGATTGGTTTGGAGTGCGTTCTTTATGAGAGCACATTACATGCCACGCACTTTCCGTTGCTRTCCATTATTGTAATTTGTATTTTATAAAAGAAATAAAAAGTCATAAAGCACTTGGGGATTGGCAGAACACTCGAGAAGTGTCCAGAAGCACTCTGCTACGCGTCATGCTTCTTCTAACACTTTTCTCGTGTTCTGCCAACCCCTGCGTGCTTTATGACAGCACACAGCACGCGCKCACGTTTTCTATTTCTTCAATAAAAAGAGAAATTCCATTTTAAYAGATAATTGATACAATTGTACAATTATGGTCAAATTTTTAATTAAAGTATTTGCATCACATGAATTTTGAAATGTGAAGCTTTGTAATTATAAACAAATCATTATTTCTGAAAATATTTTTCAAAAGTACTGAATATAATTTTTCAAATGACCAACATAACTTCCTATGCAAAACAACAGCTTGCTATGTATAACTATAAATATCTTATGTTTACTATTGTACATGTTCTAGACTACTACGACTTACTATGTACTATCATGGCTTACTGGCTGTGTTTTCACTAGGACAATTTAAACTAGCTTAAATATAACACCGGAAATAAGGCAAAGTTAAACTATCCAGCAAGATGGTTTAAGTTGTCCTACCAAATAAATGGGCCAATCACAGTGTTATTCTTGAAATGTGGTTGTCGGATTAAAACACCTCCAGGAATTTTAGGCAAGTTAACATTTCTAGTGAAAACACGGCCACTATGTACTATCATGGCTTACTATGTACTATCATGGCTTGCCATGTACTACCATAGCTTACCATGTGCTACCATGACTTAATATGTACTATCATGGCTTACCATGTGCTACCATGACTTAATATGTACTATCATGGCTTACTATGTACTATCATGACTTAATATGTACAATCATGGCTTAATATGTACTATCATGGCTTACTATGTACTATCATGGCTTACTATGTACTATCATGGCTTACTATGTACTATCATGACTTACTATGTAC